AGAAGAAATCAAAATCATCAAAAATAATGATATCTGCAACCCTGATTTTCAACATGGGGTTTAACGAACGGTTAGGTACCATTTGAACTTTTAATATAGTAGTTTTTCTTAAGAAGATTCATGGCGAGATGTTAAAATTTTATATTGTCATATAGAAAGAAAATGAGTAACTGCCAAGGATCGAGCGTGACACTCTGGACTTATAAATATATGTTTTCAGTCTGCTGTATAAATAGTGGTGTCAGGCTACTGACTGCAGTGATTATTGAGTGACTATTGAATGGAACTATCCAGTCGAATTAGTGTGAATTATTGCGCCTCGAAGTTTTTTGGATTTTGATTTAAGATTTACCGAACGTCAAGCCGAGTCACGCTACTAACAAAGGTATTTACTGAAATGGTTAATTATCTTTGGTTGACTTTTACTACTTTGTTCTAGTTAAGTATTTATTTGCGGTTGTAATTAAATACTGTCTTATTTTAACATTGAATTCTTGAGTTATACTTTATTATTAGCGTCCACTCTACGTCACAAAACATATAAAACTTATCCGGATCACTGTCAAATGAAAATGATTATCCGAGACCAAACTTGCTAGCGAGACGCTCATGACCTTCTTGAAACTCTACATTCATTATCTAGGTAGGTTTTATCTTTCTTTATATGAATTTCTATATCCTAGCTTGTTCATCTCAGGTTGGTGCAAAAGTAATGTCCAATTTCAAGGTCTATATTAAAAATGAAAAATGTAAAAATATTTATTAATTAGCATAACCTCCTTAGCTTTCTAGAAAATCATTCCAGATGATAACAAGCTTATAAATACCACACCTTTAAAATTCCTTAGGTTTTGAAGCAACACATGAATCCAACTCATTTTCCACCTTTTGTCGTGATGTTAACCTAAGACCATCCAAATAGTCCCCAAGACTAGTGATAATCAGAAGGAACAAGGTCAGGAGAATATGGTAGATGAAGCAATATTTCCCAATCAAGCTCTTCCAAAAGAGTTTTAGTCAGTCGACATGCGTGAAGACGAGCATTGTCGTGATGCGTGATAACGCCCTTTCCGTTCACTAAGGAAGGTCGCTTTTGGTTCAAAGTTGTTTTCAGACCACGAAGTTGTTCACAGTACAGATTAGCTGTAATTGTTTGATTATTATTTAACAGTTCATAATGGGCAATTTTCAATATCCCATTATACACTCAACATGATCTTATTTAGATGAAATCCTCCTCTTTGTTGTTGAACTGATCTTCGTCCTTGACTGGTCAACGTTCGGTGGAGATTAATGTTATGGTAAAGTATCCACTTCTCGTCACCTGTGACAAGCATAACTAAAAATGGTCCCTGAAGGTGTCATAAAAGTAACGATTCCTAACAAGCAACACGCTGTTGAAGATTCTCTGGAGACAATTCGTGTGGGACCCATTTCCCAATCACTGAATTTTTTTAATTGGTGCAGCACGGTTGTACGTTTTACGTTAAATTGTTCAGCAAGTCCTCTAGAGGTAACGTTGGGATTGTCTGTGACAACAGCTTCGAACTCTTCAGAATCAATTTTTTTGGATGATGCTTCTTTTGTTCGTCTTTCAAACTGAAATACCCAATTCGGAAATGGGAAAACTACCTCCTGTATCTTCTTTCGCTGACTACATCTTCCCCATAAGCGTTCTGTATAAACTTTGCTGCTCCACTTGCATTGAAACTTTTATGAAACTTATACAGTAAGATAGGCCGAATGCCAACTTTAGATGGGACGAACATGGGTGCAAATATTGCGGAAGATCTTGAAAAATATTTTTATAATCTGAAAGAGAAAGGTTTAAATTACTTATTTTGACGTTTCTTAATTATCTAAAATACTGCTAAAAGTTTCTTTGCGAAAATAGGATATTACTTTTGCACCCACCTGATATATTTATTAGGTTGGTGCAAAAATAATGACGTAATGATGTCGTTTTTTAACGTATTTTTAACGTCAAAAAACGACATTATTACGTCATTATTTTTGCACCAACCTAATAGTAACGATTTTTCCCAAGGGTCGCTTCTCCGTCTAAAGCCTCTTCTTACTCTATGTAATTGATCTGCCTAAGAGCATACTCTGATCATTTATTAGTATCCATGCTGATGATACAACGATAGATGTGTGCACATCAAAACACCTTGCTGGCAGGAGCTTGGCAACTGATCTCTCCTCTGATCTAGCTCTAACAGCTCTGAGAAAAATAGGCTGCTCATGTTACAAGGAGTATTTGTTAAGAATCGTCATGGCGAGTGTTACAATTTTAAAATGATTTAATTATTTGAGCCTAGTTTTCTACAAGTCGCAGTATTTCTTATGCATTGTTTTCTCAGCCTTTTTTTTTATCTTTATATGTGTATTTTCCTGTACATTTTACATATATAAATGCAACTACAATATATGTAGGAATCCCGAAATTTGCAAGCTAGAATCCGGCAGCTTCTATAACATCTACTTAGCAGTTTCCCGCTATATTTTAATTTCGGAGATTGGCGCTGCTGTAATGCGACAAAGATTAACAGATATTACATTGATGAAGGTTTGTTAAATCTGCTTCATTTTACAGAGCTAATTTAATATAAGGATTTGCCAGGCCGAGCAAATATGTAAAATGTGCCGTTAGATTGGAATAGTTCAAAAACCACCAAGCTAGAATCTTGAGACGTGTATGGTCCATTAATCAGTGGTATTTTAATATAAGGAGTCGCCAGCCCGCGCAAATATCTAAAAAAAAAAAATGGCCACCGAGTCGGAATAGTTCAAGAAGCATGAAACGTGTACCGAGCCTACTTGCTGTCACTTGATCCCTCTTAATAACTGTTTCTAAAACAATGTGAACAGCACAGCGTCAATTATATTGTCGTGTATTTTTTTCTCTCGCCGTTTATGTCAAATAAAATAGATTGCATTTACAGATAGTGAGCTCTAATCTAGTTTCAGTTGATTTGATTAAACGTATCTTCTGTATTCTGTCAAGCGATTCCTGATAATGGAACCAGCTGGTATCAATCAGACATCTAAGATGGTCCCACGTATCTATTTAGTGCCTGTGTCTCGTTGTACGCGTTGTATTATTTCAAAAGACTAGGCATTGTTCGTATACTTTGCAAGTCCACACTGGATAGCAAGTGACACCAAGTAACATACATATTGCTGTCATCGATACTTACACGGAGTTCCACATTTTCCAGTCTCCTTGCTATGTTTTATTCTGGTTGAGCCACCACGAAATCAGAATTAATTTTAACCCGGCGATTGATGTTAATGGTTTTGTTCAAAATACTGATTAATATATATATATATCATAACTTCACTAATATGTTTTTTGTATGAATGATTCATGTCATATAAATTGAACTGCACAACATATTTGATTTAAAAAGAACAGATCCGACGTGCAACTTCTGGGATAATAGCTGCGACATTGCTCTATTTATTGAACAATTTAATTCATACCACATCGACTGAAAAAAAAAACTACTACAACAAAAGAATTCTTCAATTACCATATTAGTAAAAAAAAGCACTCTCTTTTAAATTTTCAAAAAATTCAACTTAGCGTTGCGACCGAACACTCCAGAATTTCTTACAGTTAACAATAACACATTTCTAAAAAAACATATTTCGATTCACATCTAATCTTTCGTATCCTGTTATTACCTGGATGTATTTAAAAAAACAAAAAACAAATCAATTCCCATGCCTGATGATGTCTGTATGAACAGATGAAAGTACTTACAAAAAAAGACCTTATACAAGTTGAATTTATTAAGAACAGGGATCATAACATTCATCTAGAGGTTCGTGGATTAATGTAATTTTAATAAATTTGTTTGCGAAGATGTATTCTCGCCATTTATATCATTAACTTCACTAATCTGTCTTTTCTATAAATGATAATATATATATATATATATATATATATATATATATATATATATATATCGTATCTTCAATCATTTCACCCCAAGCAAGGCTGGAATGCCACTTGTAGATAGGGTATACAGAGAGACAAGGTGAGAGAAAAGATTACGAATAGTGGGTAGATCGAGGAAGGAATAAAACCTGAACGGGGTTTAAGAAAATAGAAAATGGCGATTGACATTGCATTTAATTATTTAAAGATTGTAGTTATCAGGGAAGCAGGCGGGAAGTGCGAGAAAATAAACTGTTGGAATAGAAGTGGCAGTTACATTTAATTAATTCAACAGTAAAAACGTGGGACCTAGATGTCAATATAGTAGCACACTTAAACTAACGTAGTCCGGGTACCAGGGAAAAAGCTCCCCAATGGAGCAATGAAAATATTTGTAGAGAAGGCACCGACAACTGAAGCCGAGATGCCAAGTCAGGATCGATTATATTATAGATCCTTCTTTGGATTTTGGCAATTATCTCGAGATAAGTAGCAGGAGCATCAGACCAGATACGGCAACAGTATTCAATACAAGAAGGAGTAGTAGATTTGTAAATGCGCAAGATGGACTCTGACGAGAAAAACCTTCTGGCACGACACAGTCACACAAGTTTCCTTGCAGTAGATGTAGCGATTGATTCGATGTAGTCATTCCGCTTCAAATCAGTTGAAAATACGAGGCCAAGAAGGCGTAGTGTGTTGCTCTTTATGAGTCTAGCATGAGCCATGCTGATGGCGAGCAGGAAAGTTTTTTTCTATTGTTAAATGAGACCAGTTTGGTTTTGAAGGCAGAAAAATGTGCTTTAACATATAGACACATTTTGAATAGAAATATTAATCGGCCAACTTCTTTGCTTAGTTGGGTTCTATTTTTTTTTTGTCAACAGCCTAGCGCCAGAGATGAGTGTAGAGTTTCATCCTAATAGGATGCTTCAGATTTGTGGCTAGGTACAAGTTTGAATCTACGCTGATTAAATAATTGCTCAGTTATTTTGGCGTAAATGTTAGAAAGCAGAATTCTTTGTGAATGTCATTTAACGTTTGATTCCTTATTTTAGAAAAGAAAGAAGGGAGAAAGAAGAAAAAAAAAGAAAAGAAGAGAAAGTGATAGTAAGAGAAATGAAGTGAAAGGCATAGAAAGAGAAATGGAGGGATAGAGATATGAAAGGAAGGGGATAGGAAATTGAAACGAAATGAAAGAGATAGGAAAAGTAATGAAGTGGAAGAGAAAGCAAGAGGAATGAAGAGAAAGAGATGTAGAGAGAAAGAGGTATGAAGAGAAACGATGGGAAAGAGATAGAAAGAGAAGTGAAATGAAATGAAAAAGATACGAAGAGAAATGAAATAAAAAAAGACAGGAAGAAAAATGAAACGAAGGAGATAGAAAGAGAAATGAAATGAAAGAGATAGTAAGAGAAATGAAGAGAGAGAGATAAGATGAGAATTGAAGAGAAAGAGAATTGAAGAGAGAGAAATGGGAAGGAAAATGAAGGGGAAGAGATAGGAAGAAAAATGAAATGAAAGAGAGCGGAAGTGATCTGAAATGAAAGAAATAGGAAGAGAAATGAAGTGGTAATGATAGGAAGAAGAATAAAGAGAAAGTGATATGGAGAGAAAGAGGTAGGAAGAGAAATGACGTGAAAGAGATACAAAGAGAAGTGAAATGAAAAAGATACGAAGAGAAATGAAATAAAAGAGACAGGAATAGAAATTAAATGAAAGAGATAGGAAGAAAATTAAATGAAAGCGATAGGAAAAGAAATATATATATATATATATATATATATATATATATATATATATATATATATATATATATAGATAATATTAGTAAAAATATACATACATATGAAAAATATATCTAAAAAAATTCCCATACATGTATATTTTCAGAAAAAAAATTTCAAGAGGAAGGATCCAGGTAGAACTCAATGTCTAGGACAGAGTAAGGATATAATAAAAGGCTTAAACACTAATATTCCATGGTCATAATTTATTCCATTGGAATCGTAAATACGATCCAAATCATCAGACCTACAAATTCAAAAATGAAAACAGAAAAAAACAACTCCGAAATCAAAACAGAATTTAGAGAAAGTGTAAGTATGAGGATGAGTGACAGAGAGAATTTTGGAGATGTGGGTGGGGTGGATTTAAAAAGAGGAGAGAAAGAAAGTCGACGGATGTCTAATACATAAAGATACATTTCGTGGTGACATATACACACCACAGACAATTCAGATAGGAAGGAAAAAAAAAAAAAAAAAGGGAAAGGGTGGGGAGAGGGATGGGACGAAGGAAAATAAAATTGTGTTTTACTTAAAGGGCCGCTTTGTAATTGGGAAAATTAAATCAAATATAAATATATGAAGATGAATATAACGATTGTCTCATTTCGCAAGGACCAAATATTTCTATGTTCAAAAACACATACTAATACACACATATATATATATAAAGAGAAAGAGGTAGGAAGAGAAAATAAAGGAAAAATATTGTAACAGAAATGAAGGGAAACAGATAGGGAGAGAAATGAAATAGCAGAGATAGACAGAGAAATGAAATGAAAGTGATAGGAAGATAAATGATGTGAAAGAGAAAGGAAGATAAATGATGTTAAAGAGAAAGGAAGATAAATGATGTTAAAGAGATATAAAGAGATAGAAAGAGAAATGAAATAAAAAGAAAAAGTTAGGGAGAGACATGAAATGAAACAAGATGGGAAGAGAAATGAAATGAAAAAAAGATAGGACGAAAAATGAAGGGAAAGAGATACGAAGCGAAATGAAGGAAAGAAATAGAAAGAGAAATGCAGGAAAAAAAATGAAAGAGAAATGTAGAGTAAAAGAAAGAGAAACGAGTGAGAAGAAAGGAAGAGGAAAGAAAGAAAAGAAAGAATGAAGAGAAAAAAAGAAGGGAATTGACTTCGCCTGAATATCTGTTATAGAAACAGTAGCAAAGTAACGAGAGGTTAGCTTTATTTTTGTCTGATAGTTAGGTGTTATAGGATGGAAAACAATTACAGACCCAAGAAATTTTTTAAGTCAAAAGAAAGAAAAGATAAACGGAATAGTGAACCGTGAAGAAGACAATTTGAATCGAATCCGTATTTTTATATGATGTAATTAGAATGGATAACACATTCAAAAAAGCAATCTGCAGAGAATCATCTTTGATTATATCCGGAATAAACAAAAATGTTTTCAGTTATAGAGAAAGTACTTTTGTAATTATTTTTAATGAAGTTATAGCATGTCTTAAATATTGCTCGCTTAAATACATTCATTTTTGTAACAAATGGCAATGTTAATGGGAATATTAACCGTTTCACAATAAGAAAATATTTGGAATCTGCTGACAGACAGGTCAGTACTCATTCTGTTGAAATTTATAAAACCTTGAAACAATTTTTGTAGAAAATAGGTTTCTCAAGTCCAGTAACCCTTACAACTCTTTCCAGTACTGATAGGTGTTTCCTTCCTAACGTTATATTTGAAGTTGTGTGGAATGCTAATATTAGATTATGCCATTATTTTCTCTTCTAGTTATGCATGGCATCCATTTCAGTTGGTGCTGTTATTTGATTGTGATTCTGTAGCGCCAGTCCACAACGCCCAAAGAAGGATGATTTTTGTGAAGACTATTAGAGAGATCTTTACTCGCTATGCTGAAAGTGGTATACGGGGAATATACTAGTGTCTCCATTGCACTGTAATTGTGTGTGCTTCTGTTTTTCTTACTTAACCTAGAAATGAAAGAAGGTAGGAATCCTTTGGAGCTCTGACCAAAAGCAATGTACAGATTTAATACTCAGAAGAAGGAAAAATTGGGGGGAAAAATTACGAACGCACTTTATATTTCAGAGTGTTTGTGTAAATCAGAGAAGAGCATGGAGGATTCGGAATGAGTCAGATGAGTCTAATGATGACTACGAAGATTATAAGCTTGGAAAATCACTCTTAATTTCTAATAAGAATAGAACTCCAGAATTTGTTGGTGAGGGCCTCACTCTAAACACGGAAACCTAAATCAAGTATCTTGAGGAAGTAACGCTGTCCTGGGTCAAGAGGGTGGCTGTTGGAGGACCCTATGTCTGATAACAAGACTATACATCATGCGATACAAGGAGGAGGAAACGTGTCTCAATTGCAATGTTATAACTTGTAGATGATTTGTTTCTGTTTTTCTTACTGAACCTAGAGATGAAAGTACATCGGAATACTTATGAATTGTGAGCGAAAGTTCTCCATTTTGAAAAGTACAGATTTAATGCTCAGGAGAAAACCATTTTACTGGAATTACTTCGAACGCACTTAATATCATGTGAAATATTTTTCACATAATAATATCTTTCTGCGTTCTATAATGGTTATAAAAGCCCCCCCCAAATATTTTATTCTGTTTTTATGCATTCAATTAATGTACTGTGTGTGATTTTTGTTCTTTTCTCTACGCATTATGTATAACTACCTGAGTTTTAACGATACCCACGTGAGGTCGTCCTCGATAGGATCATTTTGTGTTGCAAATTGAAATACAAAATGTTTGAAAAGTAGCGAAAGGCGAGCAATTGATCGAGAAGCACAAGTTTTAGTAAAGTTTGCTCAATATCTGTTTCAACGTAAGTAGATCTGAGAGAGATAAATTAACATTTGATCAGCCGAGATAAAAATCAGTTAAAGATGGGGAAGCAGAAATCGCCTCCAAAAATTGATGATTATGCTGACACAAGTTTTCGAAAAAAGTTTTGACGCTGTGTAAATAAATGTTTTGTATTTTTCCTCATAAATGTACAGGGTGAGTCAAAACTAACGCACTTCAGAGATAATTTTTTAAAAGTAATGATTATTCCAATAAGTCGGACCGATTTTAAATGTGAATTTCTTCTTTTTCTATCAGATTTGGCGGACATTTGTGCGATATAAATTTTCACACATAATTGCCATGATTTAAATAACATGATCGAATAGAGAAATAAATAAATTTTCACCAATAACACTGATTTATTTACTGCTGATTTGTATCCGTTTTAATGAAACACCTCATATATAATCCCAGTTAATGAAACACCCTTTATAATTACACATAATACTTTTATTTACTATTTATTTTATTCTTATATCTGGTGCAACAACAAAATTGCCCAAATCGTGTAACAGCATAATTATCCATCCCACCAATGTTTAATATCTACAATAAATAATTGAGCTTCTTTTTTCCAGGTTTTCTGATAAGTCGTTTAGGCATCTTGACAGCATATGTCGCAAGAATCAATGAAAAAACCTTTGGGTTATTCAGCACGAGAGAGAACAAGTTAAAATCGTTTTGTCTCCGTCCCAATATGTCTTCCCAACTGAGCAATGGTAAGAGAAAAAAAAAAGATCATTCAAGCCTTCGTTAATGGTGCTAACATTCATACTCTGGCTTCCATCTTCAAAGTCTATCGAAGATGGTGATAAATATGTTTTAAAAAGAGGGAACTGTAGAGAAGAAAACTGAATCAGGAGGTCACAACAGGAAGAGGGATTTGCATTTCAACTCAGTGCTAAAGCGATCGATCATAAAGGATCCAACTCAATTCAGAAGACGTTTGGCACCTGAGGGAGGAGTTTTATATATGACCGTTCAAAGAGCAATGAAAAAAGACTTGAAAATGAAATCGTACGTGAAAAGATTTGAAACAACTTGTAACTCTAGAAAAGGAAGGTATAAGGTTAGAGAGGATGAAGGCCATCTTGAATAAGTTGGAAAATGATCCTAGCATATATATATATATATATATATATATATATATATATATATGAAGAAAAATATATACGGAAAACAAACAAAAATCCTTATATACAATTATGCTGTTTTAATGTTAATATGTCAACGTCGGACGTTTCGCTCTAATAAACCATCTTCAGGACATATTCATAAATTATAACATTATCAATACAACATGACAAAGACGATGCACATAAGAAACAAGACTTATCCAAACAAATAACTGAAAGTTTTATAAGATCAGCGCTCCGTTTAAAACATGGTCACGTTGTCGTCACGTGGGCGACGCTGTGAAAACGTATTCCTAAAATTTGAGTATTTTGAATGAAAATGTAAAGAATTCTATTTTGAACTAAAATTTATATGTACGCTTGTCGATATATATATATATATATATATATATATATATATATATATATATATATATATATATATATATATATATATATATATATATATATATATATACGTTTTTTTTCGATATTTTATGAGTTTCAGATTTTACCTATGGTTAATTAATGATCAAAATATCATTTTCGTTTATGATCGATTTCATCACGATACTTCTGTTAAGCTTCTAGAGTAAGTATACATACTTATTGATCAAAATAGAGTCCAGTCTAGTAGTGTTATAAAAACCTCGGAGAATTCCAGTAAGATAGCTTTAATCATTTTTAAGATACGGCGTTTCAAAGCTTAATCTAACATTTGGACAATTATACTGTTACACTATTTGGACAATTTTGCTGCTACACCCGGTATAAAATTTAGGTATACATCCTTTTGAATTTCTATTGTTTTTATTCTTATCATTCTGTGCATAAACAATGACATTCTTTGTTTCATTTCCTTTTATGAAATTGTATGGTTCTTGTCCTATTTCTGCTCTGATTCTGATGCGCGGTCTATTCGCCAGAATTCGGAAGTTTTGTAACACAGCTTATTAGGCTGAATATCTGATGGAGTTCTTTGTTTGCACCTGATTTCTTAATAGGTGCTATGAAAATACATCTACTTAAGTCTACCAGTATTTCACCGCTGTCGTATATTTCATTTTAATATTTTTTTTTGTTCTGCACTATATCTCAGTATTGTTAGTTGTCTTATTGCCTTATGGAAGAGGTCAGCAATGTTTCGGACTATCTGTGAAATACTCTTCATTCATTATTATCATTGTCTCGATCTTGGAATTTAAGAAACTTATTGACGACTATCTTCTTGTGCTTTTAATTTTGTCATTCTTTATGCATATCTGCTTTATCCGTGATACTCATTCTATTTATTTCTTTACAAATTTCTTTGAAGCATTCCTCTTTTGCTCGCATTTATTTATAATTTATTTATTTGTGTTATGTTTTATATTCTGTGCAATATCTTTGAATTATTTCAGTATTTCGAGAATTTAATCTATCATCCATTCCTTTATATTATTGTCCTATTTTCTTTGGGATAATCTCGATTTCTGATGTAACTGTATTGTCTTATTTCTTATTCTAAGAGGTCTGCGATGTATTCCTACCATCTCTGAAATATTCTTCCTTTCTCTACTACCATTGTCTCGCGCTTGAATTTTATGAATCAATTTGACGAGTATCTTCTTGTCTTGTTAATTCTATTATTTCTTATTCATATCTGCTTCACCTGAGATGCACATTCTTACTATTTCTTTACAATTCTCATTGAGCCACTCCTCTTTAGCTCGCATTGATTTCTGTGCAATATCTTGGAATTGTTTCAACATGTCAAGAATTTAACCTATCATCTATTCTTTTATTCTTTGTCTAGTTTTCTTTGAGATGATCTCGATTGCTAATATTACTATAGCTTGTCTTAATTTTTCCCACTTTCAAATTCATTTCTTCTTTTGCCCAGTGTATCCACTTTTAACAAAATCCATATATTGCACCTACCAGTCTTATCATTCAGTAGTGTGTCGTATTGCAATCAGGGAGCTGCTTTTTCCCTTTTCAGCTTCTGTAGTTTCACTTTAATTTTACAAATAAGTGGATGATGATCGTTCCATCAGTTGATATTTGGGTATGTTTTGCAATGTAACAGTTCCCATTCATAGTCCTATAATCGATTTGCTTTTTTTTTTTCAGGAACTCTTCCATATCTATGTATCTATTAGGTGTTCTTTAACACAGGCGTTGGCAGCTACCTGATTATTCGCTTTCCATTACTGCATCCATTTTTCTACGCGTTCATTACGATTTCTTCGTTGACTTTCCTAAGTAGTCATGATAACTCACAAGTAATAAAGAAACGGTCTCTGTGGCGGAGACCTGATTACATACATTCTGCAGAGAGATGGAATTAAAGAAATAAATATAAAAAGTTATGCATTTATGTTCTGAACTGTATTTGGAGCAGCCACAAAAACGGTAAAGCTAGATACATGAAGATTGGAAAATTCGAACTAATCACAAATTGCAAATATTTTTGACACTCATTAGAATTTGAAAAGCCGAGAGCGCTTGCCTTTTGAGAAGTCAAAAAAAAAAAGAAACGAAAGGGAAATAGGAAATTAGTGAAAAGCAAAATACGTTTTCCTTCTTGAACTGCGGGAATAAAAACATAGATTCAGAAAAGAAAACATTCAGACCGAACGGAGGAGAGAACTAATCATATATCTGTAGAAGTCCCGATAGGCGGCACTACGGTCTATCTACCTTTGATCTGAATGTTGTAAGGCGACTTCTAAGAATGAGAATTACGCACAATAGTTAGTTGAAATAGGTTCCTTTTTGATTAAAGCCAGAATCGACACTTATCGCAAAAACCGTCATTATCTTTTGGGTGGAATTATCTCAGTATTACTGCTTTTGTAACAATCAATTACATTCCCATAGTAGGTTTTATACTCTCACAGCTTCACGCTATCTCTCTCTTTTTTTCATATATATATATATATATATATATATATATATATATATATATATATATATATATATATAGAGAGTGAGAGAGAAAAGGCATTATATGTGGAAGTTTTCAACAACATACGAGGGTTTAAAAATAACTTTATGTATATATATATATATATATATATATATATATATATATATGTGTGTGTGTGTGTGTGTGTGTGTGTGTGTGTTTTTTATATATGCATACATAGGTTCATTTATATATAAGTATATATATATATATATATATATATATATACATATATATATATATATATATATATATATATAATGGATTTCTCTGTTTGTGTATATATATATATATATATATATATATATATATATATATATATATATATAACACAGAGATTGTAGGATGCATAATGGAATATGAAACAAACTTAGTCCCATTATCCCCATACTCACAAAAAAAATACACACACACACACACACACACACACACACACACACACACACATATATATATATATATATATATATATATATATATATATATATATATATATATATATATATACATAAAACATTAAACATTATATATATATATATGTATATATATATATATGTGTGTGTGTATAAAATATATATATATATATATATATATATATATCGATTATTATTATT